GGCTATGACTGTACATAGTATTTATTAAAGATTATACAGTATTTTATTTCAGTATACTTAAGAATCACTTAATAATAGCATAAGGATGTAAAGTATTATTAAAATATATTTTTTGTGTACAGATTCATATACGGTTTTTTCCAAGTTGGTGTTAGATGCCGATGAAAATATGTTAAGGAAATGATACAAGACACACTACTTAACAAATAGCAACCAATCCAGGGTCAACGTAAGGTATTTGCTTCTACAGATCTATCGCAAAACTGGTAATAGGTGTAACAGCGTCGATTTTTGTCTAGAATAATGTAGTAAGTATACGAATTTGTGTCACCTATCTCTTGAGGACTTCGTCGCCCTTCAACTGGCAGTGCAAGTAGAAAGAAAGAATTGCCAATTTAAGGGCAGCGAACTATATAAGCAAACTGTTAGTGTTTAATAAGTTAGTCGACTGAGGACCAGGGTGTTTTAACGTTAATCCACAGACAGTTTAAGATGTTTTCGAAAATCACTCGAGACGTGCGCCAGTTTTCCTTTGTCTTGTTGATCTCAGACGTTTTAGGGTGAGCAAACATAGTTGAGTTTGTCTCATGTGCTTCTCAATACAAACTATGTTGTTTCGAATATTTTCCTTGTCAACGGACATGTCGCAAGTGTAAGCGCTACACGAAAAATGTTTAATATACAAGTGTTCCTAAGCTGATTACCTATTTCAGTGTGTATTTAAATAAAATCTATTGCAAACTTACAAAACGCATTTTTTGTCTCTGTGGGATTCACATAGAAGGTGAGTATGTCCTGAGGTGATGAGGAGGAGAGTTCATTCATCAGGTGAATATTTGAAATTCAGATTGGTATATTTGGATAAGTTTTTGCTTAAAATTGAAATGTTGAGGGCTTTAAAATAATTTCCAGATGTTAATTGAAGACTTCGGATTTGGACGAGTGAAAATAATCAAAAGTGTACGCATTTGAACTGAGTTTTTTAAACGATTTCGACAACACAAAAGAAACCTTTTAATTTTAATTTAAAAAAAAAATACTTCAAATTTCATTTAATCCTGTTTATCGAATCAAAAATATTTTTCAACTAAACGGTCTCATATATTTTGACCGCTTCGATTCTCTTTTAGTTTGAAGAGCGTTTAGCGCAAGTTTGGGTCTATAAAATGCGATTATGATTAACTAACTAAATTTCTAGACCAAAATCTTAAGACGACACAAATGCAATTAGAATACTTTTTTTCAACTTTTTCAGAGACCGCTTTAGGTGTGTGAATCATACAATTCCGATTCATCTGCATTCTTTCACCATTTCAGAAATAGCATTCATTTTGACGAATTTTTAAGTGAAAACTTGTTTGCCATATGTTTTCTAGTCTCGTGGAAACATGGCAGTTTGAATTGTAAGGAACTCATAACTACGTAAATGGGACGAATAATATTAAATTTAGTGATCTTGTTAACTATCCTACTTGATCTGAAAAACTTATAGCAAATAAGACGAATACATTTTCGATGCGCTGTAAAAATAAAAAAAATAGACAATAGAAACAGCTAACAGAAAATGTGTTTAGTACAGCAGGAAATTTGTCCAAAGCCAGTCATATTTGAAATCAGCAAAGTAAAGAGAGAGAAAATAATGAATCCATAAAACTTCAGTTGCTTGTCGGAAAACTAAACTCAGTTCAAACTAAAGGATTTATGGATTAGAGATCACTCTTACCAACTTTTTGCAAGCTGGCGCCCTATCCTCAATTTTCTATCCATTAGTACTCAAGATCACCACACTTTCACAAACTACCGCACTTGCCATAAGGGGTACACTGATTTCATATTTTCCATCTAAGAATGCGATTATCATTTGAACTCGATCTTTTAAAGAAAATCGTCTAGTAATAGTTTGAAAATGGCTACATATTTACTGTTTTATCAGTATTTTTCTTTGGTTGATTTGAATTACGCAAAGAACGTTGTTTGCTCTGATAAAACAAAACAATTTAAAATKGAATAAGCCGAGCGGCGAAAGGTCCAGCTATCAGGACTAAAGTCTAAAAAAGAAGAATTATATCATTGATATGTAAAAGATGAAAATGCAATAAGAATAATGAATCCAACAATATTATGAACTCAATATATATCAAATAATTATCACACACGAAATATGRACGATAAATAGACTTAAATAATGAATATAAAGAAACACTTCAAACGGTCCAAAATTAATAGATTAAAATGTTTGGAGAATTTGCACTTTTTGTTGAAATTTTAATTTCTTTTATTTACTTGGAGGTTTGAACGATGAAACAAGCACGAGCACCAAGCAGGGCAGACCATTTGCAGCCGTTAAAGCGCCAAAGACCGTAGCCAAGTCTGTTTTATTTTGTTACTTTACTATTTTAACTTGTTAAGTTTAAAATTGTTTTAAAGTTAAAATCTTCAAACTCTTTCTTAATATTCTATATGTCAAGCTAGACTTTTGAATTTAACCCTGAATTCGAACTTTCAACTCGTAATAATTCCCAAGACACGAAATTTCATTTACTCCCTAGCCTGAAATTTTACTTAGTTTCCACTATCTTTTCGTCTTTTGCAATTTTCTCAATCCCAAACACTTGAAAATATATTTGATTTTCTAGCAGTTACTACGCCCTTAATTTTCAATAAAGGCAAACAGATTCCGCGTTTTTGTGCTATCAGAATCATATTTATTTGTTGGGTAGGTGGAAATACCAGGTTATACCAGGGATTAGACAGTGCGGCATTTTAACTGCAGAATTTCACTTTTGTATGAACAAATTTATATAACATAAAAGTATAGAAATTTTCGTAGCTGAAGCCGTAAGTCCAGTCGAGATAGTTTTATGAAGTTTGAGTTTGTGTGTAAAGCATGCAAAACTGGAATATGAAGTAAGGATTTTGCAATGAATACAGCCAAATTATCTGAAGTTGAAATTTGTATACAAGAAGGCAAGATGTAGGCACGGGTAACTCTGTTAATTTTCAGGAGTTGGCGCAGTGATACATCGATCGACAGAGTAACTCACTGCAGTTGCGTTGCAGTTTTTCTGTTAGGTGTCAAAATCCAGTCCCGGGCCTCGTAAATCTGTAATCCACCYCTGGGTTAAATGATAAGCTCAATTCAAAGTGCGGCACAGTGAGACACGATGAGTTATAACGAAAATCTCAGAAACTAAAAATATTCTACAAGTTCAGAGTTGTGCGTTTAATAATGAAGAGTGTGCTCAAAATGTCGACAAAATGTCTTCAAACCTTCAAAAATTYATTCAAATCACATGAAGTCCGAACTTGTGAGCGCTTCTTAAATGCTGAGTTGAAAATCAGCGCTTTTACCGAACTACAGACTTTAATAAAAAAATCCAACTTCCAAAGTAAAGCCACTAGAAACTTGATAGATTGCGTAAAGTTGCACCTAAAAATGAAATATTGAAATTTCGTGTGACTTTTAATAACTTAAGATAAAATATTTATAGATGAGAGATCATTTTTACCAGCTTTTCGTAAGCTGGCGCCCTATCCTCAATTTTCGAGATGAACATTCTCCAAAAGTTCGCTACACTTTCACAAACTACGGCACTTGCCATAATGGCTACAATG